ATCAAAAGTCCGATAACAATCTGCANTCGATGATGCTTTCTCAGAAATTTTTGAACTGGAAACAAGCCCAGTAGAAGGTCAATCACTGCAGCGAAAAGAAAAGAAAAGGAGAAATAGCAAAGGCGAAAAAACAAAATTGAAAAAATCAGAAAGCTTAAAGACGTAGGCCACTTTCTCGTCCAAAAATTTTGATTTCTCAAAATTTTGATTTCTGAGCATGCCCGAGCAAAAATGTCGTGAAACGCGATGCTAGTGGAAAGAAAAGCATGTTGTCAGGTAGCAAATGCCTTTTTGAGTAGATTGGAGCTAATTTGGCCCATATCCAGCATGCAAATCTCCAAAATGTCCAAAATGGTTTTTTTGGCAAAAAGCTCCGAGAGTCAATGGGTTAAGCAGTTTGTTATATTTCTTGTGGACAAGAAGCTGTCCGAGACTGCAAATAAAAAGTTAAAAAATAACTGACTTTGGTGTACGTTCAAGCCTATGCTGTCTTGTTAAGCTAGATATGCACTTGTTGACTGAGAGAGAGGGCCGCACGAGAATATATTTGACATGGACCGAACGCGAGAGGAAACATGGAATATTGAATCTCGTATTTACCAATCAGGTATTACCTGTCATGCGTGCCCTAAATAACTAAATAACTGTTCTTTGTNGGCTTGAGTTTCAAATTATACTTTCTGACAACAACAGCATATACGACCAATAGCCAACGCCCCGGGCAAACGCAAATAGATTCAGCCGCCTTGTGGGTTAAAATTTATAAATTTTAAAACGTTGAGAAAGAAAACTAAATCATGATAAGCTGATAAGCAATTTAACTTTTATAAAACGATTTTAATTTATTAGATTGGGTAAAAAGCACTAAGCTTATAACGGACCTTATAAAGCTTACATTCCATCATTGCACAGAGCAAGAACTCGAGAGAAATATTTCGGAAACCCGACTTTTCTGCCAATTGCATTTTGCACTATTTGCGTGGAATCAGTAAAATAGCAACAGAATAATAACAGCTACCACTATCACATGACAATAAAGCTGCAATGCTCACCTCTCAAAACTTGGTTTGCAAATTGCTCCAGAGTTTGACAGCAACATAGACTTGACGAAGAGTAACAAATTCATGCTTTCATTCAGCTTCAGTTGCTTGGGCAAATTCTGTAAACAAATTAAAATTAGGGCAGCTTTATAAAGAGGAAATGGGTTTGGAATTAAAGCCAAAGTTTGCAGTTAAAGCTCTTTGGCGGACGAAAAAGTCAAGAATTTTCGTCTTCGGCATGAAACCACGTGTTCCGACGGACGGAGCGGTCATTCCAAAATTTTAAGATATTTTTTAAACAATATCATGCCTTCCAGCAGTAAATTCACTCACCTATTTGCCTCAGTTCGCTTCATTAATTCGAATCATGTCGCTGAAGTCGGTTTTATCCTCAAATAAGTTGGCGAATAATAGAATATTCTGAATGTTGCCAGCTTCTTACCAAAATGCGTGCAAGTCCAGCGAGGTTCTGCAACTGTTTGAAAACCGCGCCTGCTGGCCTCTCCAACGCGTGAGCTAGAGCTCTTCGCTAATTTGCTTGTTTCTTTCCACGTGATCAACTTCATTCCCGCGTAAACAAGTTTTCCCGCGTAACATCCAGTCCTTTCGATTTTTATTTGTTGAGCAAAAATTAGGTTCTTTAAAGAGAGTTAACGGAGAGATCTGTGGAAATTCCTACTTCTTTGACGCCTTCCCTGTTTTTGCTGATGTTAGACGAGCAGGGCCTTAGAACTATTTGAAAAACAGCGCGCGAAAAAATGAAAAAAAGCGCGGCGAGAGGAGGCGAGACTTCTTTCGCTACCCCTCGCCGGGCTTTTTTTATTTTTTCGCACGCCGTTTTACGTGCTGAACCCCAACTAACTGAACGCCTGAAAGAGGTTAATTTGAGCCCGATCTGGTCAGATGGGCTAATTTTGACTGGTATCGAGATGAATCATAGCTGGGCTCCGGCGGCTTGGAGGGCCACCAAACGAAGCACTTGTTTTTTTGAAGTTGATCCCTGAACAAGTGCTGGTTTTCGATTGGAACACCGGTTCATGTCAGGTTAAATTACCTGTTATAATTGGGGCCGGGTTGTTCGGAAGCCGGTTAACGCCAACCCAGGATTCACCAAAGTATAAATTTTTCTTGCTTTTCTCACTTTTTCATTGGCTACTTAAAAAAGTCTCAGTGGTTAAAAAGTCCACAATTTGAGAGCTGAAAGTTGAACTTGGAAGCTTAAATAAATTAAAATTTTATCTATCTGTACTTGAGCAGTCTATCTGTACTCTTAATGATAATAAAAATGAGCCATTGAGCGCGCGAGAAATTGGACAGTTATTGTAAAATTTTTAACCAATGAGACTTTATGGACGTTTTTAAGTAGCCAATGAAAAAGCGAGAAAAGCTATTGACAATGTTCGCGTCATTTTGAATAAAATTCACTTATCTTTGTTTACGGCAAGTTTACGGTGTCTTTTCCCCTCATTTATTCCCGGCATTTGACCATTTTGGCGTTTGTTATTGTAAAAAACAAATTGACGTCAGTTTTTATACGTCTGTCCTCTTACTGATGATAAATTTCGTCATAACATTGTCAAAGTTTAATGCGAAACCGCTCGCGTGCGGCTCGTGGTTCCACAGCCACTTTGACAATGTTATGACGTAATTTATCATCAATAAGAGGACTGACGTCAATTTGTTAAATAACAAGCATCGTATTCAAAACGTGACCGTGGTATAGATGAATACATTTGGACCAGTCATGAAGCAATACCCACGGGTATAATTTTTCTCATTTGCACAACAATATAATCCAGCATGTATTTGAGGCAATTCCGGGCAATTTTGTATCAGAAATTCCGGGAAGAAAATCGAATGGAACGGTAATTCTCGGTAAGAAATTTCCAAAAAACAAATTGGTATAACTCAGGGCGCTAGCTTTTCTCAGTGCGTGCTCAAAACAGTTTCCAGAAGTTAGATTTTGATGGGTCATTATAACCTCTCTTTATCACTTGATGCTATAATCAGGGCATCACAAAACTGCCCAATCATTGGTGAACACGTTGTTATCATTTTCGGGACACAATAGGTTTCCATGGCAACAGTATGACCTACTAAAAACACCCTCAATTACAGCTTTATGGGCTTATAATTCAAAAACGGCATGAAATTTTTTTACCTTATTGAATTTTAATAAGCATGATAAGACGCAACTTTTAGCAAAGTTAAAAAAAGAAACTGTACATAGGGCTCAGAGCTATCTTAAATTTTTCAGAATTTTGATTTCTGCGCATGCCCGAGCAAAAATGTCCTAAAACGCAATGCTGGTGGAAAAAAAGGCATGCTGTCATCTTTTTTGCTGTGACCTTGCAAATGCCTTTTTGAGTAGATTGGAGCTAATCTGGCTTATATCCAGCCTGAAAATCCCCAGAATGTCCGAAAAATGCGTTTTTGGCAAAAAGCTGTGAGTCACTGGGTTAAATGAGTTTTATCTTACGCGACTGACGAACAAGACTCAGTTCAACAAGATCTTGAATTTATTAATAAGGACCTATTAAAAATGACTTTGAGGACGCCGTTACAAAAGTATTAAAACTATATGAGTTTACAATATTTGAATAAATATGATATATAGTAAAAGTTTAATTTAATAGCAAGGTTGCGTTACACGAAGACGGTATCAACACTAGTTCCTAGTTTCTTAGTCATCGCAATTTGTCTCGATGTATCCTTAAAAATTCTCCTTTGTTCGCGGTAACATTGGCGATTATCCAAGGGTATTAATTAAGGCTGCAAGTAGAAAAAAATCAGTCGAATGATTACTCCTTAGCAATGCCAACTTGATGCAGGGTCATACTAGTTCTTTTAAGATGGACTGCTCGTGGTAAAACGTATTCTGAGTTTTGGTCCTGACAGTTCAATTAGGAATCAGACAAACTCCAGAGATGATCAATGTACAAATCGCGCCACCTACATTACAAAGCTGCACTGAGTGGTAAACTCGCTAAACTTCTTTTCAAAGAAAAAAAAAACTGTGAGGACCGCTAATAATTTGAAAACGTGTGGCCATACTCGTATCCTTGGTATTGGACTGGAGCAAGAGAAAATGTCATTCTGTCTTGACTGGAGCTAGCTTACTGTGGAGGTTCATGCGAGGGAATATCATTAAAAAGAGACTGTCTTTTGAATTTGACGTCTCAGTTTCAAGCTAATTCCAGTCCAATACCGAAAACAAGAATAAGATCTAACAGGCTTACAAAAGAAAACACGTTTTCATTCCAAGTGTGGGGAACAAGTGTCGTTTGAAGGAGTTATTAAGTTGCGATGTTCTTATCAATAAGAAAAATAACAAGTCATCATGGCGCGATCAGTTACTATAGCAACTTCGAGACAAAAACAGCGGTTCACTTCGTCACGGACACTAAAATTCGCAAAAATGAAATTGTACCTGTTCCACCAAAATGTTTTTAAAATGGACTGAAAAATATGAGCATTTTACCACTTGCTAGTTAATATGATCGTCTCCAGTTCTATAAGGACTATGAATTAGCTTCTTATTAAACACGTTTCAAACTAATGTTAGGTTACAAATCGAAAAAATCTTTCAACAGTTTAAAAAATAACGATATAATTACAAACTTCTTTAATTCAAAATACGAATTGTCAAAGCATTTCGGAAATCAGTCAATCTGGGGAAATTTAATGAACACTTGGATTAATTGATGTCCGGCTTGTTGATTTCATGCATCTGTTTTAATAACGAGTCCTACATAAAATATCTTGATTTCTAAAAATGTATGATAAAATAGTTATTTTTCTTTACGACTAATCTTGATTAAATTTTATCATCTAATACTTAAAACCACCTTTAAATACAAGTCTAGAAAGATTCCACGGATTGGGGAGGGGGGGGGGGGCTAAAATGGTTTATAATATACTACTATTAACAAAGCCCCCATGGTGAAATCGCACAATCTCGTTCCCAGCTTCCCTCTCTCACAGAAGAAAAGAGGGGACCCTGGGAACGATTTAAAAATCGCATGTTATTACGTAAATCGTGCCAAAAAATTCCCAGTGTCCTAATGGTTTGCATTTGACTGGGGTTAATGAATAATTTGGAAATCATTACTGTACAAAAATCTCTCCATGTTAGAGAGGGGAGCATACGAGTGAGCATGGAAGCTCAAATGCTGGTTTCTAAGTAGCTGTCGGACTCAGAGTATGATGACTCTCTGTCGTCGTCGTCTCTATGGCCTTCCTTCAATTCTGCGGTCTTTCGCTTTTCTTTTAGTTCTGCCTACAAGTAACAAAGATAAATATCACTTAATATTCAGGTTTCTAAGCAGAGGCGCTTACAGGTGAGCAGAGATATGAAAGAGTTTGCGCTGCAGTGACCTCAATAGTAGCTGACATCTAAAGAGGCAAGGAAAAAGAACATGTCTGTGACATAACGAGCTTTTAAAATTATGCGTGTCGTGATTTAAATAAATTAAGCAGCTTATGTTGTGATTTAAGCAGCTTTTGAAAGATTTAAAGGCAACTCTAACGTACAGTCAACAGACTGTCGCAATAAAACCAGCTTAAGCAATTACGTGCCGTGATTTACAGAAGCTTTTAAAAGAGATTTTAAGCAGTTGCCAAGGAAAGTGGCCGTGAAATTGTGTGAGTCCTTCAAACTTTACCTTTGGAATTTTTTCCTGAACAACAGTACGAACCCTTTTAGACACAGTGGATTGGGCACGAAGAATTTTCTCATTGTCTTCGATGCACTCAGCAAAAGAAACTGAGAAATTAAAAAAACACCAGTTACTTGAAACCTCAATAGAGCGTTTTCACTCACGTGGCCAGCATCCATGCAAATTTATTAGAACAGAAGGAAGTAGTGCGTGTAGTGGGATCGTCCAGGTGAGGGTAGTTCTGAAAAGAACTGTTACTGGTGACTGACGTTACAGAAGGAAGTGTTGACATAAGAAAAGAGTTCAACTCCCTCAGGATCGGTTTGGTACACCAACATGGCCGCCATTTCATTGTTTTGGAACACCAGTATGGCTGCCGTGACGTCATGTGAAAATGCTCTATATCTTTATCCCAGTCATTTAAGTCAAGCCCGTGAGACAAGAGTTTCGGAGTAACGTGAGAGTGAGGAACCAAAAATTGCTAAATTGTGCTTTTGTTTGTTTGTTTTTAGCATATGCATATCACATAGTCTGGAACTGAAGGAGAAATAACAACAGCATTATCAACAACTTTCCTGTTTAACGTCTCTCTCTTCAATAAGACGTTCGGGTGCAGGGATTTTGAAGCCCTTTTCGGGTCTATTTTGGGTCAGGGGCCCGTTTCTCGAAAGTCCCGAAACGCCGTAGCAAAATCTCAAACCTTTCGACTACAGAGTCGTTTTATGCACGTATTCTTAATATGAACAGAGGTTCTCTTGATACAAGAAGTTTCAGGCGTATACACCTCTCTGTCTTTAAATACCGATTAACTGAAAAAAGGCTTTTCGGGCCCGAGAAGATTCCGGGACTTTCGAGAAACGGGCCCCAGAACAGAAATTAGTTTTACGAAATGGGCCGAAGGATAGACAAAAGCATCGAACCCGTTAGAACCGCAGATGAGTTTTATTATACTATAAACAAGTCTTCTTACCATTGTCTGAGCCCAGTTGGTTCCTGTTGAGGACAACATCGACTTGCCGCAGCTTCCGGAGCGTGTGAAGGACCCTGCTGTGGTCCTTATTCCATGGGTATCTAAGAACTACCCACTTTGTTGGATCCTCCCAACTGACACAACGATCAAAGATCTGTTCAAGGGCAAAAAAAACATTTCTTTTTTTGAAGTATACTGATAAGTTGTTCAGCTGTATACAGTCTAACGCCACACAGAAACAAGGTATCTTAATAACTGCTAATACTATTTCATGTCAATTGAAAACATCTGACAGGAGGAAAATAATCTTTACTCCGTCACACAAATTAGGTATTTAAATTAACCCACTTATGAATTACCCTTTCCCAAACAAAATTAACAGAGGTCAGCATTACAGATTACAGATTACAGCATTACAGATGAAGGAGATTGAAGTAATGATTCACCTTTCACAGAAAAGGGAGTTGGTATAGAGCAAAGAATAAAGAGCACTTGACAAAGTACCTTTCGGCCACTCCTAAGAGCCTGGTGTAGATATGGGATCACGTTGTAGTTCCAAACATTAACGAACCAGCCCTCGGCGGCTTTGAAGTCCATTGGGCATGAGAAAAACAGAGAGGGACCTGAAAGACACGTACATCAATAATGAATACAGCATAATTATATTCCCGGGGAAAATAGTGTTTTACGTTATGCGTTGAAGAACACGACAAGGATGACAGGACAATTTCTGTGAGTACGGGTTATTAGCAAAGTTTGTTCGGTCAAGATGGTGGGATATTGGCCAAGACTTGTGTTTGTGTGTGTGTGTGTGTGTGTGTGTGTGTGTGTGTGTGTGTGTTCATGGACCAAGACGAAGTCAAGGTTCATAAACACGCAAATAAGATCGAAGCTAATGTCAAGTCATGTAGACTGAACAAACTTTGCCAATATAGTATTTATTATGTGACCTGCACGAGTCGACACCATTTTCTTGCAGAATACAGCCGGCAATCTTGAGCGGGTAAGACGGGGTAGCTGGCCTGATCAAAACACTATGTAGTTCAAATAAATATTCATACATACCTATGGTGGCATCGGCGTCGCAAAAATCTTCCAGGATTTCATTCAGGTGCTGCCACACTATTGACAACCAGTCAAATAACTCCAAGAGGTCACCACCTTCAACACTAACAACGACAACAACAACAACAACAGGTCATTACATTGGCTTGGACAGTATGAGAACAAACAGCACAAAGTTCGGAAAATTCCCTTATACTCACCCAGTTCGAATTTGACTCCAACTCAGTTTACGCCTCAGGAATCTACTTAGCAGTCCACTGTACTGTCTGTCATTTACAGACACTCGTAGCCACCTTAATACAGAAACAAAACAGAAACGTTCAATTATGGTTAACAACAAGTCAAGGTAAACGTCTGGTTACGAAAATGACATAAGAGAGATCCTCTGTTCCTGTAGACAGACAGAGAGGCAGATACAACGTGCACACAAGACAGACAAACAGACAAATGGGCGAACAGGCACACTGGCTGACTAACCAGCCAACGCACACATAAGACAAAGACAGACAGACAGACAGACAGACAGACAGACAGACAGACAGACAAAAAAGAAAGGTAAGACAAAAAAGAGAAGACACACCTAAAGTAATGGCATAGGCTCAGCTCCTTAGAAGAGAAGGGTCCTTTCCTGCTTTTATCCCGAACACCAATGATGTAAGGGCTGCCACAAAAATCACAACATTAACACACACATCTACGTAGTGTAAACAGCATTAGTAGCAACTAAACAATACTTCTTTTGTATGCAACACCAATCACTATCAACTTCTATTTAAAACTTCGTAATTTTTCAAGATATTTCAGAGAAGATAATTCTAACCCGTCTACTGGTGGCTTGTCTGCATGACAACCATCAAATTTATTCACCAGTTCTGTTGTTGATAGCTGACCAAGCTACGGCCTTGTATAGGCTCTTTGCAGGATCCGGTCACATGGTACTGAATTAATTACGCTAGGACGCAAGTTACACAGTGGGACTTCCAAAACAAAGGAAAGTCGGGCTGGACAGGTACGAGTTCCTTTGTTTTGGAAGTCCCATTGCGTAACTTGCGTCCCAGCGTAATTAATTCCGTACCATGTGACCGGATCCTGCAAATGGTCTATTGAAAGGAGGTTACTAAATCAATTCATCGTATGACACTTCATTGTAAGGCAGGAGTATACAGACTGAATGTAGCCACTACGTACCAACTACTGTTTTTCTCAAGCTGTGAGAAGTCAAAGATGTCAGCCAATGACGCCAGACAATTTAACTGATCAAGTATAATCACAGCCGGGGTGCCTTCATTGGAACTGTTATAGAAACAAAAACATGATGATCAAGAAGTTTCATTAGTCAGAGTTTCCCTTTGGATTAACAGTGATAGGGCTCTCCTTTCCTGGATCTCAGGTTATCATAAATGTAGCCTGTGAACTAAGCTGAATTTGTGACGGCAAACTCCTACATTGTGCCATGCACCTTCATAGGTTTAAATGACATTTTGCATTGTAGGGGATCTCAGCAAGCCCCAAGAAGGTTCCCGAGGAGATCCGTTACTTGTTAGTAGAGTACCAGTTATAGATTCATAATTAAAGATATCATGCATAAGCAGTTAATAAGTTCCAGTTACTGAACAGATTTTCTTTCAATTCTTACAAGTCGAGTCACATTTCAAAACAAAATTTACAATCCAAGCCATCTTCAATTCATAGAGAAAGCGCACAAAAGAAAACAAACTGGAGGTGACAAAATAAATAAGAAAGGCAAAACGCGTTGATGAAAAACGAGTTTCCTAAATGCGTTGGAGAAAACGCACCAACGCGTTGACTTCCTTTTGTCAACGAGTTTCAAACGCGTTTGATTGTTCCCTTATCTCTGGGCGGTACTGAACAAGAACAAACAATCAGACAGACAATCAATCAATGTGAAAGAACTTGCTTAACACCTCGCAACAGGGATGTTCTGAGTCCACCACTTATCCCCTTTTTCATCTAGCTTGTTAAACATCTTCGGGTCAATAAACTACTACTTCAGGTCAATACATACCTTGACAGGGTCTTCTCCATTAGAGAGGCTAAATCTCGCTTTAGTTCCTGTAAGAGAACAACAACGAATTGAGACATGGCTACTCGGGACAACATACGAGATATCAAGATTAGAAATATTATTTATGACGAGTAACACAACTTTAAGAAATCCATAAAATTACAAATATCTTAACTCTGGTTTTACCTTCTGCACAGATTACGACTACATCATTTTTTGAAAAGCAAAGTGTAAGTTGGTATTTTCAAAACTGACTGTATGTACAATGATAGCGACAAAAAGGCAAAAACAAGTTTTATACCAGACATCTTTTTGAGCACTTACAAAAGAATGTTAAGTGTAGGTCTTTCACTAAGTGTGAAGAAAAAACAAAAAAGAAACATACTCTAATGAATTGCAAAGATAGAGGATCACGAACTAATTAGACGATATTCGTGCAAGAGTACAATTAAAAAAAATAATTACTGATTAATTAAGCTGCGATCAGGCGTTCTTTTTTATTCCTCTTCTCCCGTTAGCCAAAAAAAGAACGCCTGATCCCAGGTTGCTAATTGATGAGACTTACTTTTCGAGTTTGTTGAGTGACATTGAAAGTTACCACAGCTGGTGACGACTTCCATCCAATCCTGATAGAATGTCAAATAAAACATTTCTGAATTATCGCAATGTACCATCACGCATTGATATATAACTGGAGTATAGTGGAAGCTAACGCGCGTTCTTATGGTCACATAGCAAGGTGGCTAAATTTAAATGTTGCCCGAATAAAACTGCAAAACACACACTAATGAAAAAATCGGAGTTTGTAGAGATAGATCTTAGCCGTATAGCCAGATCATGTCCATTCTTAGAATTTGATTCAGCAGTCACATGAATCTAATAAATGTATTGGTAAAAAGGCCAACGTCAATATGGAAAGCACACAGGAAAAATGTCAATAAAACTATGGATAAAAAACAAACAGATTTGGGCTAGTAGTTCAATGTGAATTCTTATCTCCACTTTGGCACATTTCCTGACAGGTCATGACTCACAGTCCCAGCACAATGTTGTCATAACATTTGATACTTCAAGTAAGGAGAGACCACTAATACTGTACTGGAGTCCTAATGACGCCAGTACAGTGACAAATACTGTAATTTTATAACCTCTAGTAAACAATAACAATTAATTATGGCACAAATTAGACAAACAAATTGTTTTTAAGTATTCAGTGGCTGTCACTAGGTAATAACAATCTTTAGCAGCATTGAAAGAAAACCACTAAGGGGGTGGGTCATTTGACTTTTGAGGTGGGGTGGGTAATTCTGAAAAAAAAAGTCCGGCAAGCATACAGTGTACTTGTACCCCCAAAACATTCATGTAAACGACCACTGCCAAAAGAAATATCACGCACGTTCAGTGAACTGAAAAAAAGCACGTTATATGGAGAAATATATCACGCATACACATAACCCCCTACCTCTGCTTCCTACCC